CAATTTGGACAATGGCTGTGGTTCAAAGGTTCTGTTATCGGTTGTGAATTTAATATCTGGTTCATATTTAAAGCTCATAACCTATACAAAGATCCTAAATATTAGTCAAAAATAAACGCGTTGGATCCCATCAACCACAACAGACAACCACCTAAGCAATATAATCAACTTTACAAGCCACATTACAGGAAGCCTGTAAAACCTGACAGCCTATCTAAATCAATGAAGTAAGTTAATTTAACTCAATCCTCCATAAAACGTAGAGTCACTCAATCCCGTGAATTAAACCCAACTCAGATATAAACTCAGTTGTTTTAGTCAACTTAAATGTGTGTAGTATTTTCAGCTTTGGTCATATAATTCAAGTTTGTTCCATTGACTCATTTTCTTTAAGTTAACTTTATATAATTACACAAATGTAGGTGCCACTGTGCTATAATGCCTAGGTTTTTATTTGATTTCAGTTTATTAATTATCATATGCTCAAATATGCATCCTTCTTAATGATCGCCCAAAGTGCAAAGATTAGATGTTAGTCACAAAAAGTAGGCTGTAGTTCAATCAGTGCTAATTATACTAATTGTCCAACATATGCAAGTAAGGAGTTTGTAAAATATTTGGACCCATGCTGTACATTTCTAAGTTAAAAGATTGTACTCAACATTTCTGGTTCACAGTGGGGAAACATTCTCTGGATAATAAACCTATTTGGCTAGTTAGTGCCTTCATCTGTCCGTCTGTGCAGCAGGGGATGAATAACTTTATAATGTATTTACATTTTTATCTTGTTCATATTTGTTCTGTGTGAAGCATATTGAGCTTACACTGTATGAAATGAATGGAGAGCGTTTCAACAAACATACAGTCGCTGGTTGATGGTTGGTGATCTGAGGTCAAAGCTCAACATCCAGATGAACAAAACATAATTGATAAAGAATAAACAGGACGAATTCACCAGTGTCTGACCTTGTTGACAACTTACAGACCAAACTGCTCTCTCTCTCTCTCTCTCTCTCTCTCTCTCTCTCTCTCTCTCAGGTTGTTTCTGTTCAGACGTTTGTGTTTAAATCTCAGAGGTGAAGCAAAACCAGTCAGACCTGCTGAGGTCAAACAAAAAGAGACGAGTGAGGCATGATGGGAAACTAATCTGCTGCTGCTCGTCTTCAGAGGGATTAAAAGATTCAGTTATTTCACTGTCAGGCTGAATTTAACTCAACAACAGCAGGATCACAAATAATCAGCAGAAACTGTTGCTGGCAGACGCCTGCTCTGATCGTCAATATTATTATTGATCAGATTATCAGATTATCTCACTGCGACATTTTCCTCTATTACACTAGACCAGCTTACTCAGAGTTTCATTCATTGTCATTTCATTGTTTTGATAGCTCAGTAAGATGATTATCTTTTTATGTTAACAACCGTTCTTTAGCTACAGATGATTTTCTGTTTAGAATAATAATCTTTCTTTATGTTTTCTGTGGCTGTAAATGAACTGAATGTTTTTGGTTGTGTTATTGCATCTGTTTGTTCTGATCGTCTCACACAGCTGAACCCTTCTGACACCAACAGCAGCTTCTTCTCTGATCAATAAATCTGTTTTATGTTCAGCTCGTCCGTCTCGCACTCTGGATGTGTCAACAGTCATCACGGCGACGGGCAGATGTCAGTCAGCTAAGGACATTTACATTTGAAATAAAGTTTTCTGTTTTTGGATGCCTGTAAAGCTTCCAGTAATAAGTGAGAGAGATTGTTTGATCATATGTCTGCTGCTGGTTATTGATCACTGATCTGATCTGATGTTTCTGCTGATCAGATCTAGTTTCATCAGAGTGCCGTTTTACCTAAACAACAATAATTCTTTATCTCACTGTCACGTCCTAATACACGATGACAGATTGACTGATGTTCAACAGAATCTCCTCTGGCTCACACCGAACTTCATACAGATTTCTCTCTGTTTTAAACTCAGGGCTGCTTCAATTCAATTCAATTTTATTTGTATAGCGCCAATTCATAACAGAAGTTATCTCAGGACACTTTTCAAATAGAGCAGGTCTAGACCGAACTCTTTATAACATTATTTACAGAGACCCAACAGTACCACCATGAGCAAGCACTTGGCGACAAGGGCAAGGAAAAACTGCCTGTTAAAAGGCAGAAACCTAGGACAGATCCTCCGGCTCTAGGTGGGTGGTCGTCTGTCTCGACCAGTTGGGGTGAGAGAGAAAGAGAGAGAGAGAGAGGCAGAGAGAGAGAGAGCGAGAGACAGACAGACTGGTGCACAGCAACAACAGTATTGGCAATGGCAATCTAGCAGGACCATGGCAGGAGGCTCCACCAGGATCGACAAGAACCTGCGAGACAAGAAAGCACAAGAACTCCGGGGAAGAAGTGAAGTTAGTAACATGCATTAATGGAACATGAATGAGTGCAGAAAGAGAGAGGAAGGGAGGAGCTCAGTGCACCATGGGAAATCCCCCAATAGTCTAGGCCTATAGCAGCATAACTAAGGGATGGTTCAGGACTCACCTGATCCAGCCCTAACTATAAGCTTTATCAAAGAGGAATGTCTTAAGCCTACTCTTGAATGTGGTGAGGGTGTCTGCCTCCAGAACCACAACTGGAAGCTGGTTCCACAGGAGAGGAGCTTGGTAACTGAAGGCTCTGGCTCCTGTTCTACTTTTAGAGACTATAGGAACCACAAGTAGCCCAGCATTCAGAGAACGTAGTGTTCTAGAGGGGTAATAGGGTACTATGAGCTCTTTAAGATATGAAGGGGCCTGACCATGAAGAGCTTTATAGGTGAGGAGGAGGATTTTAAATTCTATTCTACATTTTACAGGGAGCAAATGCAGAGAAGCTAGTACAGGAGAGATGTGATCTCTTTTTCTAGTTCCTGTCAGTACTCGTGCTGCAGCGTTCTGAATTAATTGGAGCGTTTTAATGGACTTATTGGGGCAACCTGATAATAAAGAGTTGCAGTAATCCAGCCTTGAAGTAACAAATGCATGGATTAGTTTTTCTGCATCTGTCTGTGATAGTATGTGTCTAATTTTTCTAATATTACGTAAATGAAAGAAGGCAGTCCTAGAGGTCTGCTTTATGTGGGAGTTAAATGACTGCTTCATTTCATTCATTACATTTTCAAAGGTTTCATCAGCCTCTTTCCCAGAGAATGACTGGGTTGAATGTGAGACTAAACAACAGACAAAAAAAACATTACATCTAGTTGCATAATGAATGAGTGAAAACCTGTTGACCAACACATACATACACACACACAGGTACTACAATGTCATCGCATCCTGTCAGAAAACAAGCGACCAAACTTCATTCATATTTTCAAACAATATCTCAGTAGCTGATTGGCTGATTGGGACAATATAGGAGGTTTTGGGGTTACTGAGGACGCTGAATTCATTTCTGACATTTTCTAAATACAAAATGGATGTTTCCGACATATGCTGGGGACCCATACTGTACATTTCAAACATAAAACTTTGGTAGACAGCATTTCTGGGTTCATGTTGCTGATAGGCTATTGCTACAGTCCGCTTCCTAAAAGTATGGATATTTCAATGTCACTATTATTTTACTGACTAAATGATAGTAAACTATAGAATAGTTTCACACTCTTCACCATTTAATCAGCCAATCTATACACAGTTATGGAATAACAGTGAAATATGAAACATCAGGCTGCAGAACCAGTGGTTCTCCACCAAAAAGTGAAACACAGCAACAGCAACCAAACTCCATTCGTATTTTGAGACATTTCGGTGACTGCTGGAGGAAGAGAAACAGAGCTGGAATAAAAAGCTGCTGCTGACCGACTCTGACCTGATGAGAGGAATCTGCTGTGTAAACATCAAACAGCAGCTACTTTCCCTCTCTGAGTCTCTGAGTCTCTGAGCAGATGTTGGAGCTCCTTCAGAGAATCTCTGAATCAACAACAACAAACAGCAGCAGGAGGACGAGAGGAGTCACTTCAAACATGCAGACACATAAACGCAGCTCAGTCTGCTGCTTCACAACAACAAAAATAGATTTTTTTACTGTTTCTGTCATTGAGACTTCACTACAGAGCTGACGTCACAATACAAATATCTCGACTTTGCCGCTTATCATGTGACGGTAAATAATAATAATGATACATATCAATGTAATAACATAGAATAATCCTCTGACAACATTATGTTTCTATACATTTGATCTGAACTGATCTGTTAGAGAGACAATGAATCATTTAGTTGTATCTATATGTGTGTGTGTGTGTGTGTGTTACCAACGTAGCATGGTATAATGACATGACACTAAAGTGCAATATTATTGTGAATATAAAAATCTTTAATAATCAATAACAACTGTCTTACATTATTAAAATCAATAACATTACTGTGTGTTATTGTAGTATTATAGAGTATAAGTACATATATCTGTGTGTTATTGTAGTATTATAGAGTATAAGTACATATATCTGTGTGTTATTGTAGTATTATAGAGTATAAGTACATATATCTGTGTGTTATTGTAGTATTATAGAGTATAAGTACATATATCTGTGTGTTATTGTAGTATTATAGAGTATAAGTACATATATCTGTGTGTTATTGTAGTATTATAGAGTATAAGTACATATATCTGTGTACACTACTGTGTGTTATTGTAGTATTATAGAGTGTAAGTACATATATCTGTGTACACTACTGTGTATTATTGTAGTATTATAGAGTGTAAGTACATATATCTGTAAACATTACCGGGGAATATTGTAGTATTATTAAAGTATTATCTGAGTACACATTTGGGTCTCTGCAGCCGCAGGCGCTCCTGATTTCATACATAAACCAGGACCCAGAGCTCTACAACCAGGTCAAGGTCAAACCGGATCACACAGAACCACAAACCGCAGACATAGAGACCGAGACAGAGACCGGGACAAACCACATTGAGCACCCGGAGCGCACTGCCGCCCGGGTCCAGGTGTAGTTCCGTACCTGCGTGCGGAGCGGCTCCCCGTGCTCAAAGACGCTCAAGAACGGGATCTCCAGGAACGAGGCCATCAGGTCCACCTGTAGCAGCTCCTCACGGGTCTGCGGGAAGGCCAGCACGGCAGAAACCCCCTGAACCACCACGCCCTGACAAACGCACCGGAACAGGGACTCCGGGTCCGCGGCGGACGGCTGCCGGGAAACCAGCTCCAGGCTCAGGTTGTAGGGCAGAAAGTTGTCCCGTCCCCGGTCCGGCTCTTGGTCCCGGTCCCGATCCCTGTCCCGGCTCATTGCGGCTGCCACACGACTCAGCGCCGCCTGGACCTGGACCCGAGCCGGTCGCTGCGCCGGCAGGAGCGCGCCGACCCGGACCGTGTGTCCGATCTGAGCCAGGAGGTGGCACGGCTCCGGGTGGAGAAGGCACGGCGGCGCGAGGAGGAGCTGCAGGAGGAGGACTCCGAGAGTCCGGGACCAGGAGAAGGTGTAAGACATCCTGCCGCGCGCTCAGCATCGCTCTGCCGCTCCTCCGGTTCTCCTCAGACTGACTGCTCCTCCTGCTGGAGAGAGACTGAGGGAGGGAGGAGACAGCGGTTGGGGGGGCGGGCGCTCCCAAAACACAGGAGGACGGAGGTGAAAACAAAGTGAGGGGTGAGGAGGTGCTGGAGTGGAGGAGGAGAAGCAGGAAGAGAGAAAAATAAGGAGGTGAAGAAGCAGAGAGGGGAGGAAAAAGGTGACGGCGGGGGGGGTGATTTACAGAGAGAAGAGGAGGAGATTTGGAAGTGATGTTAAAGGAGGTGTTGAAGAGGAAAAAGAGAGATGGGGAGGTGTATGAAGCCATGAGAAAGAGGAAAATAAGGAGGTGAAAGTAGGTAGGAGGTGTTACTTTGAAAGGAGGAAAAGCAGAAGAAAGAATGATGGAAAAGAAAACAAAGTGAATTGGGAAGAGGTGCTAGAGAGGAGGAGAAGGGCTCAGGAGGAGCAGGAAGAGAGGAAAATAAGAGGAGAGTGGAGGAAAAAGTGATGCAGGAGGTGCTTTACTGAGAAAAGGGGAGACACAGAGGTATAGAAGAGCAGAGGTGACTGTGAACCTGTCTGTCTGTCTGTGTCTCTCTCTCTCTCTCTCTTTCTATCAGAACCAGCATTAACTGTTTCAGCAGTTTGAGCTACAGAAGCTCGTCTGTTGGATCGGACCACACGGGCCAGCCTTCACTCCCCACCTGCATCAATGAGCCTCGGTCCCCCATGACCCTGTCTCTGGTTCTGTTCCTTCCTTGGACCACTTTTGATAGGTACTGACCTCTGCAGACCGGGAACCCCCCACAAGAGCTGCAGGTTTGGAGATGTTCTGACCCAGTCGTCCATCACAATGTGGTTCTTGTCAAAGTGGATCAGATCCTCACGCGGCCCATTTTTCCTGCTTCTAACACATCAACTCTGTCCACTGTCTGCCTGATATACCCCCCCCCCCCACTGTCAGGTCACTGATCAGCAGTGTTGGGGGTAATATAACGCATTACTAACTATATTTTGGTAATGTCATTACAGTTACTGAGTCCGGTAACGCGTTAAAATCTGAGCTGTCGCACAGGCGGTGATTTTGAAAAAACAACCCAAAAGAGGAGAAGAAGACGGTTTTAAATCAACAGAAGAAGAAGAAGACGGTTTGGTTTGGAGATGGCAACAACAACAACTGATAATTCAACGTTTTCTAAGTGGTTATACTCGCACTGTTTTGAATTTGTCACAGAAATGGATAAGAACCTCACAGTAAGGTGCACTTTATGTGCTGGTGGGAGGCCGAGGGAACGGTCTATGGCTAAAAATAGTACAAGTAACCTCAAGAAACACCTGGAGAGAGTGCACAGCAACCTTAAGCTAGCGGCTAAATTACCTCTTGCTAGCAAACAGATGGTAGATGACGGCGCGAGCAGATCTAAACAACGAAAGTTGGATTTCTCCAGACCAGAGGTGAAGATGCTTGACCCAGGAGAAGTGAGAAGGCTGGTGGCTGAGTATGTTGTGGAGGATGCGCTGCCTCTTTCTGCAGTTGAGTTGCCGGCGTTTCAAAAGCTTGTCAGCAAAATCCCTGTTCGATCAAGTGACAAGGTAAAAACAAATCTCTAATGATACAGTCCTATTGTTGAGGTATAAACACATTTCCACAGATAGTTCATTTAAGATGAGACACTACAGGTGGTGTGAGAGGTGATTCAATGATTAAAAATTGTTTCAATTTGTTAAGTCAGTTGTGTTTGCAGAGGGATTTTCAAGGTTGTTATTGTCACATCATTTCAGAATACTTTAACAGTTAAGTAAAATAATAAATAATACATCTCCATGTTTTACAATACTCATAAATGAGACTGTGGGTGGTAATGAATAAAGCCCTCACTAAAAAAAATACGGACAGAAATATATAAAGTCACTAGAGATTTGTGTCTCAGTGTCTGAGGAAAAATCATTCACGGAAGACAACCTTTAAAACTATGCAATGTAAATTGAAATTCATATACTTGTAGTAGATTAAAAGAATACAAGTGAAAATATTAAAAAGCTTGATTTAAAAGAAATACAACCATAAATCATCAATCACAGTGAAAGTAACTAAAAAGTAAAGAGTAACTTATTACTCTACACAGAAGGTAATATTGTAAAGAAACTTATTACTTTCAAATGCAAGTAACTAGTAATATGAAATATATTTTACATTTTGGAAGTAACTTGTCCACCACTGCTGATCAGTGTATATTGTTGTACAGTGATTTTATTCAAAACTCCACAAGAAAAACACCATGTTTATGTTTGTTCTGTAAAGACAATTAGGTGGTCACAGAAACAGTACACAGGGAATACTGAAGATACACCACAAAGATGCTCCAGGAGTATTATTGCAGTATAAGTACACAAGATGTGATGTTTTGCTGCTACAGAGGATTTTGGGAAGAATCCAGCTCATTTTCACTCTGAGGTTCCGATTCGTCATCCTGAGAACATCACAGCAGACACAGTTACATAACACACACACACACACACACACACACACACACACACACACACATTAAATATTCCATACAAACCAGATCAGGAAGTGGAACACCAAAAATCAACATTAATTAGAAAAATAAAATCATCTGATTGATCCCCAGAGAGAAAAACTAACTGACCTTAAAACAGCTCTCTCTGGAATGGCGTTAGCGCCCCCTGCTGTCAGAGTGTCCACAGTGTAATGGCGTTAGCGCCCCCTGCTGTCAGTGTGTCCGCAGTGGAACGGCGTTAGCACCCCCTCTCTGTCAGAGTGTCTGATACAGGCATTCCTGTTGTAAATGTTTGTCACCATTGTCTTTACATTTGCTGTTGTAAGTATACACATATATGTATGTATATGTATACATAAAGTATATGTCATAATGTATAGAATAATGCAAGCAGACTGAAATCTGAAATCTCCAGCATAAACAAATGTATTTTTATATTTTATTAATTCATATAAATTCAATGTAAACATTACTGGCTGAGATAATGTGTATATTAGACTGTAATGTGTGGAATAAAGGAGTTATATGTGAACTTTAATTTCAGCATTCATCAGCCATTAGCAGTCCTGCTCACTAAATATCAGCATTAAAAACAACACTAGTTAGGGACCGAGCCAGCGACCGCTGGAGGTCCCTATTGTTTTTGCTTGATTTCTTACCTATTCTTCTTCTTATTTTTAGCCCCCTTCGACTGCGTTTTTGCCCCCCTGAACATATACGAAAAGTCAATTTTATTTGGCAAAGTTGTCAGGCCTGGTGAAAATGGGGATATTCTATGCGTCGCTTTCGGGTTGGCCACTAGGTGGCACTACTATCATAAAAAGTGCGTTTAGGCTAATAACTTCTGCATAGTTTATTGCACATTCATAAACCTTGTATCCACGCGTTCTGTGAATGGTATGTCCGATTGACACCAAACTTGGGTCCATAGTTCCACATTCACTTCCTTAAGCATCGTGCACAATTTCAGGCCATCGCCACTAGGTGGCGCTCTTTAAAATGTAGAAGTTTATATCTCTACAACGGTTTGTGTGATTAAGATGAAACTTGGTATGATGCTTCCCCATGGCTCCCTGAGGCTCGCTAAAAAATGTGTCAACAATCTGCCACTAGGTGGCGCTCTGGTGGCATGGTAAATCACGGAGACCGTAATAGTTATGAAAATGAAATTCACAGGGCATGTGTAGAGTGGGGCCTGAAGCTCACATACCAAAAATCGTGTTTGTTGTGTGTGTAGCGCCCCCTACAGGATAAAAAAAACCGCAGCCCCGGCGCCACGTTTCACCAATATGTACGAAACTTGGTAGGCATGTGTAACATGCCGGGACGTACAAAAAAGCCTCTTGGACCCATACCCCAAACCCCACAGGAAGTCAGCCATTTTGATTTAAAGTTTCACTTTCGGCGAACTTTTCGCGTTGTATTTGAATGAACTCCTCCTAGGGAATTTAACGGATATGCTTAAAAATTGGTCAGTACAGTCAAAAAATGGTGCTGATTAAAAGTTGTGCTATTTGTGCATGTACATTAAAGGGCGTGTCCGTGGCATGGCATCAAAGTCAGCCATTTAGATTTTTTTGGTCATTTTCTGTGATTTTTCGCGTTGTATTTGAACGAACTCCTCCTAGGGAATTTATTGGATCTTCTTCAAAATTGGTCAGTACAGTCAAAAAATGGTGCTGATTAAAAGTTGTGCTATTTGTGACTGCACGTTAAAGGGCGTGTCCGTGGTACTCCCTCAAAGTTGGCCAGGTGGAATCGAATGTCAAACTGTGATGCTATTTCCGGCATTTAAGGGCTTCTGTTTTAACTAATTCCTCCTACAGATTTTATCAGATTGACTTCAAATTCGATCACTTCAATCTACACACATTGGTTATCAAAAGTTGTGCTATTTGTGACTGTATGTTTAACCGTGTGCCTGTGACGACGTGTCGAATTCCACCGATTGGCCATCAAACAGATAGTACTCATCTTCAGTGTACAGTCCCACCCTGAACACGTCCTCATAACTTCAGCGTAATGATCCAATCTCAATGAAACTTCACGTGTTTGATAACAGTCCCACCCTGAACACGTCTACATGACAATATTCAGACATAGTGATAGCGCCACATACTGGTAACAGGAAGTATCACGTTTTATACTTTCATGTTGTACTCCTCGCAGGATGATCAGATCCAGCTTAAATTTACTTATAAAATGCAAAACACATTGTTGATGCTATGTGTTGACTGAGGTGAGGGGGCGTGTCTGTGGGGTGGCGGGAAATTTTGATTTGATTTTCTGATGCAGAAAGAGAGAGGAAGAGAGGAGCTCAGTGCACCATGGGAAATCCCCCGATAGTCTAGGCCTATAGCAGCATAACTAAGGGATGGTTCAGGACTCACCTGATCCAGCCCTAACTATAAGCTTTATCAAAGAGGAATGTCTTAAGCCTACTCTTAAATGTGGTGAGATTGTCTGCCTCCAGAACCACAACTGGAAGCTGGTTCCACAGGAGAGGAGCTTGGTAACTGAAGGCTCTGGCTCCTGTTCTACTTTTAGAGACTATAG